GTTCACCCTGCCATCACGGATGGAAAAATACAATATGAAAAGATGATCCTATTTGCGTCATGCACTCTGTGATAACTGACCCAGCCTACAGTACAAAGCTTTAAGGGGAAATATTGAATTAATAATCCTGCCACCAAATCATTCCAGTTTCCTTTCTATACAGCAACTAATAACAATATTTATATACAGACACGAACTCTGTAGGATTTTGTAATGGTTGCTTCAGGAAATGCACAAATAGCTAGCTTTTTGCTGTTGGATTACAGGTCTTATCAACGCTCATCAAATTAGGGAAAATGACGGCCCATCTGACAAATCAATCCTGCCTGCCTGGAAGACTGTTGAAACAAGATTTGAGTGCTGTCTCGAGGGGGAGCATTGCTGGAGGCTGGCTTCAGCTGAAGGTGCCGGTTGGCAATAACAGTAACAGAAACACCACTCCACAGCAGGACTCCACGTGCAACCTCTCTGTCAGCGTGAACTGGTCTACGTCTGCTGTCCTCCTCTTGTCCCTGGTCAGTCCCTGCCACTGCAGCCCAGACACCCATGAAAGGAGCCACAGCCCCTTACCAAAATGTCAGAAAATTAACCTAAGAATAAGAAAACTGTTTCATTTTCATCAGCTCACTTACCCAACACATCCCATGATTGCACAAGCACTTGGGCTGTTAAAAACATCGTTTAGGATGAGAGGAGGGAGGTGCTGCTGCCAACTCTTTCAACAGCAGCCTGCAATTAGAGTCACTTAAGCCAACTGTGAAACTACAGGGTATTTTGATTTTCCTCCAATGTTTGCAGATGGGAGCAGGGTGAGGATAGCCTTAAAGCACAAAAAGAGCCATGTTTTTGGTAAGGATCAGATTGGTCTGGCTATGGGCAGACTTAAAAGGTCCATGGGCATTAGGTGGGGAAACTAGTGCTAAAGAGAAAAGGACCATAGACCGCAGAGTTGAAAGTCACACTGCAGGATCAGCCTTTATTCGTAGAGATCCTACACGATGCCAGGCAAGCATTTTAGATCAGATATTTGCAAGGCCCTTGTTAGTTTATCCATAAATTCCAAAGTGCCTGACACAAGCCCCTGGACCAGTCACATGGCTGAAATCAAAGCCAACCTTTCCAAAGGTCCATGTGCAATGAGGAATGTCTGAAACCCTGGTAAAGTGTGCAGGAAAGCCAGGGGAGGCAGGAGCCATGTGATCTCTACAGCTGATTATGACACAAGATTTGGGTAAGCTAAGGAGTATAGCTCAGTTTCCCCACAGAGCAGCTCTGCATGAATGACCTTCTATTAGACACCTTCCCCTGAAATTGGTCTGAGTTTTATTTTCTTTTCCTGTCCATAGTCAGATACTCAGAGATGGCAGTTCTGGGCCATGTTGCTGGGAGGGACCATTTTTAATTCACATCAGGCACTGCCACCACTAAGGAAGGATAAACACTAGCCACTGCCACACAGGTTTTCTATTGCTCAGGGGTATAATGGATTAAGCAGTGGATGCATTAAATGATCCCTAACTATAATTGAGCTCCCTCTGTGCTTATAACACTACAGCCTCATACAAATGGTTTCTAATGACACATGCAGTGTCTAGGAACAGGGTAATTGCTATCTAAACAGTTGCTGATCCCTGAGCTGGTACATGATAGTGTATTTTACAATTATTGAGAAACTTTGGACATTTTTTATAAGTGCTCTGGGCATCGACCTAGAGAAAAGCTTGGTCAGATGAGACCAAACATGATGCCTTTCCCATAATGGTAACAGATAGATAATGTTCTAGTTGTCAGATATTACTGCTGCCCTAGTCTTGATTATTCCCATTACCACTGTTTCTCTGCAGTATGATTAACAAAACATGCAGCCAGCTCCTAGCTCATGCCTATGGTGCAGGCACTCAAGGAGAGTCAAGACAGTCTTCCGAAAACTGTTGTTATCTGTGTGGCTCTCAGTTACTTCTGTTAACTAGGCTAACATACGCAAAGTTCAGACGTGAAAGATAACTCATTTAGTACTGGATCATAAGCCTCATCAGTGAGTAGGACCTATAAAGTGTACCAAGGCTTTTGGCTGCCAGCCACACTGGGCAGCTGGGCTCAGAGATTGAACCCTGCAGTTTCAAAAGTCAAGATATTATGATATATTTTTTTTCTTTTTAAATAATAAACTCTTTTGATCTTGTTCATTGAGATGAGGATGATGATGACATTTTTATTCAAGAACAATCCTTCAGTTCAAGAAGCATGGAAAATCACAGCTTTTGTGAATCATGAAGCCCAAAAGCAAAGGCCCAAAAAAAGTTTGCAACTTCAACTACCCCAGTAACAAACAGCCAACACTAATTGTAGATGTTCTATTCACCAAAAATAGCAGAAAGTATGCCACAGTTCCTGAAAAGCACACCATGCCAAAGGAGACCTTCATATCTTATATGAGATGAAAACCGTACTTCGTTAGGAATTTGGTTTTGATGAAGGCAGTATGTCAGAACAGTTTTCACCTGACCTTGAAATGGCAACACGCCTGATTCACTTTGGTGATCAGGTTCCACTTCACAGGAAGCGGAGAACAAATTTAATTTTCTCTTTTATAAACACATGCACGCACACATACACACTAATTTAAATGCAATCTGCTGTGGTTTGAATACTACAGGTTTACCTCAGCACGTAGAACTGCTGCCAGCAAAGTGCAGTCTGCCCACTGAAGGCAAGACAGGATGAGTGATCTCATCCAGCCACCCAGGTCTAAGAGCTGATACCTGAGCCACTAACTGAGGTTTCTACCAGTCTCCTAATTTACAGCTTCATGGAGTCTTAGTCTGCAGGGAGTGAATGCATATTGCTGCATAGCTGTATAAAAAACCTGCTTCCCTGTAAAGAAGACATAAATACATTTAATTTGTAGTGCACTTGCTCAAAGCAATATCAAAGGGAGAAGCAGAATTGCATGTTTTCAGGTAAGCAATATTTCTCCATTTTCGTTTTGGAGGGTTCAGGATTTCAGTGAAGAACCAATCATCAGTGCAGAAAACCTAAAGAGGATGAATCAAATATTCTAGAAATTTTTTTTTAACTTTACTTGAAATATACCACTGAGAGGCATAAAAGTGGATGACAGTGGCATCACCAAACAGCAGAAAAGCAGAAAAGAGTGAAAACTCGTGTATGTCACTAGATTTTGTGAATGTAAATCTGGATTTGTTTAAGACAAGCTTCATGGCCTCTACCTAATCTTTAACTGTAAAGCCGCTATACCAGAGCTAATATTCATGTTAAAAAAATCAGTTTCAACTAAATGATGGGTAGACTGTTCAAATTCCTCTCTGAAGTGCTCCTGAGTAACAAAGTGATACTCATCTTTCTGACTAGTTATGATCAAATAATTCCTGTTGTGTCCCAGCTTTCATGATTGGCTTTGTCAGAGCAAATTTGTCATTTCTACCAGTCATTGGGATAATGAAGAAACATCCATATAGGTAACATGCTAAATACTCTTAATCACATAAAAATCTAATTCTATACACAGGATTTCCAGGACTGCAATAAGGTAGAATTCAGGGTTTTTTTTGTTGTTTTGTTTTGTTTTCTTTTGGGGTTTTTTTTTAATGTGATGACTTCATCTGGATGTTCAATATAACACTGATTGAGTTTAAAGACTGTATTTCTGGCACAAAAGAAAGGAATTTGGTCTTGATAGTACCCTGTCTAGCACTTTATGAAGTCACTGAAAAGTATTTTCTCACATGGAATTGGTTAGGATCTGGAGGAGTGGTGCTTACCTGAGCTGCTGAAGACATACAGTGTCATGCCTCTTGCATCACTTGAGACATCCAGATCTGAACCAGCCACCTTAGGCTGCCTTTGTTGTCAGTGGAAAGAAATAGGTATGCCACCAAAAGAGCAAATAATTTTTCATAGAAACCTCACTTATGGGAAGATATATTATGTCCTGGAGGAACCTACCTCTCTCCCTTGATGATAAAGGGGGCTTTAAAGAGGGGCTTAGGATGACTGGCTTCATTTTAAGCATCTAACTTTCTGATATCTGAAGTTACATAAGATGATTTCCATCCTTGGTTACCATTATTTCAGGTTAAAACACTACCAAGAAAAGTTATGTCTTGAACTCACTGCGAAGAGATTCAAATTGGGTATAGCAGATGAGAAACCATTTCAGAGACAAGACTATTCAGCTCCAGTTCACACAGAATGGGAAGCAAGATCAGTGCTTTCACTCAGTATCTGTGCTTTCCGTCTTCCCTCTGCACTTTGAGAAACAGTCTTTGAAAGTTTAGCTTGACTTTTTTTTTTTTTTTTTGGTTGTTTTTATTTTTATTTTTTAATAGCTTTATACTCTGATGACTCCAAGAGAGCAACGTCATATTCATAGAACGAGCCACAATTGTCAGGTTATTGGAACATCAGGTCCTGAGATCAGTATTTGAACCTTCCATCTTTTGGTTTTCATGAAACCAGAACAGCATCTCTGGTTCCATGAACACAAAAAACTGATTAGCTGAGATTAATGTAGATAAGATATGGGTATGGTTCTACTACTTTCTGAAAATTATTTTTTCTGAAAATTATTTTTCCTGAAAATTATTTCTGAAAAACTAATTCATAGTTTTGCAAAATCCTAGCCCAATCTCTCTCTTGGTCTATAAATATGTGCTTTCTACTCCTGCAGATTTGCAGATAAGCAGTAATTGTCTTCTTCAAGGTAGGAGTTTAAATAAAGCAAGAGTAAAATTAATAATCATCAAAATTAAACATAAAGAAGAGAGGAGGGTGAAATTAAACATTTCAGTGGGTTTACTTAGGTCAGACCTGGGTATGTTAGCAAATCTCCATTTCCTTCCTCTATTATGCCTTGTCAAACATATGACATTTGCTCCAGCAGCAAATAATGTAACTGAATGCGTTTGCCCCAACAAATCAACTAAAATTAAACACCTAGTTTTTTTTTTTTTTAAAGCTTTAAGAAGATATCTGCAAACATGGCATCTGAACACACCAGCAATTTTACTACTCCACCAGGCCGCTCAGACCCATTGACAACCTGCAAGGATGAAGATTTCTCACAGAAGAAATACTATTTCACTGTCTTTTACAGCCTCATCTTTGTGCTGTGCTTCCCAGGGAATATCGTGACAATTTTTGTTTACTTTGCCAAGATGAGGCCCTGGAAAAGCAGCACCATCATTACGTTCAACCTGGCTATCACTGACCTATTATATTTAGTCACACTTCCTTTCTCTATACACTACACTGTTAATGGAAATAACTGGATTTTCGGAGAATTCATGTGCAAGTTTGTTCACTTTTGTTTCAACTTCAACATGTACAGTGGTATTATCTTCCTTAGCAGCTTCAGTGTCTTACGTTATTTTGTGGTTGTCTACCCAATTAAATTGCTTTTTGTTAAAAAACGGAGATGGGCAATGGTGATTTCTGTAGTCATTTGGATAATTTCCCTGGCCACCATCAGCCCCTTGAGCATCTTGATTGCCACAAGGCATACACAGAACAGGACAATCTGCCCAGACCTGGCTACTGCTGTGAATCTTGAAGCTAGTCGGTGGTATAACTGGCTGTTGACAACGTTTGCCTTCCTATTGCCCTTGCTGGTTCTGACTCTGTGCTACACGCTCATTATCTACAACTTGGCCACCGGGCCCCACACACAGGCTTGTTATAAACAGAAGGCTCGCAGACTTGCCATTGTCCTCTTGGTGCTTTTCTATGCGTGCTTCCTCCCCTTCCACATCTTTCGAGGGATTCGCCTGGAGATCCGAGCACGACCGGTTAGCTGCCGCTTGCATAAATTCATCCTTAGTATGTATGCAATTGTTAAACCTTTAGCAGCATTAAATACCATTGCAAACTTACTGCTCTATGTAGTGACAGTAGACAACTTCCAGCAGGCGATCCTCTCACTCAAGTTTTGGAGAAACAGGAACATGAAGTAGAAGAGATTGATGCCATAAAAGAGTTATGGAGGAAAATTCCAAACCTGTCCTCAACCAACGAGGTACGACCTCCCTGCCATCAGACTACTCAGATTAACCCTGCCACTGCCAAAGGGGAGTTAATCTGTTTTGGGTTTTGAGTTACAAATTGATCATCAAAAGAGAAAACTTATAAAATAAAAAGCTTTAAATAAAATACTAAAAAACTAAATGTGAAAGTTCTCAGAAATTTTTCTGCATTTGCTTCCTGAAACCTTGATGCGTCTTTTGGAGAATGCACAACAGTTCCAGAAAAAAATATTTGCTTATTAGTGACTGATACAAACTCAGGGTGAGAGTAATTTGATTTCATTTTAGATACTTAGAAGATAAGTGCCTAGTCTAAGCTGGATGCCTGCCTTTGACTTGTTTCCTAGGAGATGGAGATGGATAATCTATGATTCCATGATTCCATAAGACCCTCCAGAGGGTTCATCGCACCTGTCTTAGACCTATAGGAGGTTCAACTCACCACCCTGGAGACACTCTCAGGGTAGGTGTATGCATATAAGCTAATCACCTTGTCCTCCTTTTATAATTTCCCAATATAGTTGAGAGAAATAAGCAGGTTTAGAGTGTGATTCCACTTATTATTCTTGATGCCTACATTTGGACAAGATGAATCATGACCTAGAAGTGCCTGTTTCTCTCCATGGACCATAAAAGGTAAGTAGATCAGACATGGACCCAAACATTCATGCCTGTCTTTACACAGCTGAGGCCCAGCGTGAGTACAGAGTGGGATGGAACATTCTCCAAAGGTGGCTAAAAGGGGGCTTACACTATAAGACCCTATTCAGTGCTTCTGAACACCTGAAGATTAATGGTGCAATAATACAAGATCACTCCTATAAGGGTTTTTCCATATGACTAACTGTGATTTCTGGACTCATTTTAGCCCAGAGGTGAGAAGTGAATGAATGCATAAATGTGCCATATCCATAGAATCATAGAACAGTTTGGGTTGGAAGAAACCTTTAAAGGTCATCTAGTCCAACCCCCCTGCAATGAGCAGGGCCATCTTCAACTCTATCAGGTTGTTTAAAGCCCCATACTATCTGACCTCGAATGTTTCCTGGGACTGGGGCACCTACCACCTCTCAGGGCAACCTGTTCCAGCGTTTCACCATTCTCATTGTAAAAAATTCTTCCTTAAATCTAGTCTGAATCGAGTCTCTTTTAATTTGAAACCATTACCTCTTGTGCTATCACAACAGAACCTACTAAAATGTATCCCCATTTTTCTTGTAAGACCCCTTTCAGTATTGAAAGGCCACAGTCAGGCCCCTTGAACCTTCTCTTCTCCAGGCTGAACAACCACAACACCCTCAGCCTTTGCTCATAGAAGAGGTGTTCCTCTAAGTAAAACACAGACATGGACCCGCTCCAGCAGGTCCATGTCTGTCTTTTACTGAGGAATCTAGAGCTGGATGCAGTACTGCAGCTGGGGTCTCACGAGAGCACAGAGCAGAGCAGAACAGAGGGGCAGAAGCACCTCCCTTGACCTACTGGCCCAGGATATGGTTGACTTTCTGGGCTGTGAGTGCACATCGTTGGGTCATGTCCAGCTTTTCATTCACCAGTACTGCCAAGTCCTTTTCTGCAGTCCATAGACAATACAAAGTCATTTTTGCCTGTTTCTTTACTCATTGAAGCTCTGCTTGGTCACACCAGGTGAGGAACTGCTTTGGGTAATTACACATCTGACAGGCAATATGGGCTGACTCACAGGGGGAAAAAAAGAAGACTTGTAGGAAAATATGAGTCTGATATTTGCAGATCCCCTCTAGAGAGGTTCCAGGTCCCAGCTGAAGTACCCCAGCCAGCAGCAGTACAAAACTATGAGCAGCATAGTATTCAGACTCCAAAAGTATGGCCGTGCAGTAAACCCTCCAATACATTTTTATAACAGCCTTATTTCATGACTTTTGCTCTTCTCTCTGAAATGTCCCTTGATCAATGGCAACACATGCTGCCATAAGGCTCTCATCTGACCCTTCTCCTTCTTCAATCCCTCTATGCATGGCCTGGTCTTTAAGTGACTACCAGACCAAGACCACCAGAGCACCATTTCATCAATGCCTCAGTGACTGCCAGATAGCCTGTTATTCCTCCGTGGCATTCACTGCCCCTCTCAGGGCCAGCTTCGGGAGAACAACCAGCAACAGCAAGCAATAGGCATGTCAAGGGAATGAGAGGAGATAAGAAACCATCCCTGACATACAAAGGAACAAAATGGGCAAAGGAAGAACAGTGTTTGTCTGGGATAGTGTAGAACATGGGCCGTGAAGGAAAAGTTATGTCAGAAAGCAGAGGAGGGAGACATTTTCCTGCAGAAAAAGCCCATTTGATTTTAATCAACCCCTAGATATTTATCAAGGTAACTTTTAAAACTTCTCCACAGCATAGCATGATCTCCCCTGTGATCACTATCCATCCTCAAACTGAGCTAGGTGAAAAGGGAAGCTCATCTAATGCAGGCCTGGGGAGATGTTGCAGAAGGCAAACATAAGAAGAAAATGCCTCCCACCCCACACGCTGTGTTGGTTTTGCCAGTCTCCGAGGGGCAGCACCACCTTCTCTACTGCACTTACAGTGCTGCTCATGAATGCTTGCTCCTAAGGCACCAAAGCTCATCCACTATGAGAAGGCAATGCTGAACAAGGTATCTTAGCTGGGTTGTTTTGGGTTTTTTTTTCAGTTTAGGATTTCGTATCAACTACCATGAAGGTTTTTTGAGTGAAATAAGGCTGACAAGTTATCCTTTTAGCCTCTACTGGACATGAGTTTTGTTAACATCTACTTTGTGGAGTCTGGTTCTTTTGGTGTTTGAGGTAGAAAAGGAACTGCCTCTTTTTTTATGAAACAACATAGGAGCATGTTTTGCTTTTAAACTTTAAATGAGGATCTGTATTAATCCCTTTTCAGCTCTCTTGATATTTTCTGGATTAATTACTCAGCACTTTCATTTCTCACATTCAGGCTATGTACTCTTTCTAACTACAATATGCCTAGAGCATCTTCAATATGGTATCATTGCCTGGAATGGTCTGGGCAGATAACCAAGAGTTAGTTGGCAAGGGGATGAACCAAACCTTGGTTCCTAAGATTTTTCTACAAAGTGTGAAGAACAAATCTATGAGATACTTTATTATATATGGTATATTTACATATTTCAATCAAATTCATAATAAAGAGAAAAAGAGATCCTGCCTGTTTCCCTGCCCCCCTCTCAATCAATACTTGCCTTACACTATCATGTTGCTCCATGCTCCATAGCCTACCTCCTCTATGTATCTTCTGTGCACATGTACCCTCATTTATGTCCTGCCCTTGACTCCTGCTGCCCCTCTGCATGTCTGTCATGCTGATTCCTACAGAGCCATAACTGTGGACAGGTTTCATCCTTAACCTGGTATCATACAGCGTGACGTTAGCCAACAAAGACAGTAGTCATGGTTGCTGTGGAGTTGTCAGCATCCATTCAACTCTTCCTTCACCTCGTTACAATTCATCCTCAGCTGAGACAGGGTAAAAAAAAAAGGGGAAAGACTATAAAAATGTTATCAAGAAACTGCCACAAGCTGACATGACAGGTGGGTCCAACAGCACAACATGATCCTCGTATTTTAAGATTTGCATCACCACAGATAGGGAGAAGAGCTCAGCCATATTCAGAATTTACTGGGGTGTCATGGTTTAAGCCCAGCCAGCAACT